TTTGGAAGGTCCCCTGGAAGGTGGGGCATCTTGTAGCTGATGGAACAAGAGCACTGACAGGGCAAATGGTAGAAGAGCATCAGTGAACCCCCCCCAGATCATGCATGAGCTTATCAATTCATTTATTTCCAAAGACCACCTGGAATGCAGGGATAAAAGCCTGTGGGTTTGTTCTTCTGCAGTGTTCAACATCCTGTGGGAATGGCATTCAGACCAGGCAGGATTTCTGCCTCAGCTCTCTGACCCACAAGGCTGTGAACCCCCTTTTCTGCCGGCACTTCCCCAAGGCCATCGTGGTGCGTGGCTGCTCCGCAGGGCCCTGTCCTGAGCAGGAGGGGACCCAGTCCCCTGGGGCAGAGCTGCAGCAAGTGACACCAGCCACACACCTGCCAACAGCTGCAGCTGCCCCAGAGCACAGACACAAGGACCTGGATGTGCCTCTGTCTGCTGGACCCCGGGAGCAGACAAAGCCCAGTGGAGGTGAGGAGGACACGGCCAAAAGGAGCTTCTTGTGTGCAGCTGGGCTGTGGGGATCCTGCTGCCAGACAGGGACAGGAGCATGGGAGGGAATACAACTGGCTGGGAGGGAAAACCTGCTGTTCCAGCACGTCCATGTTACCTGAGCTAGGAACAAAGACTTGCTTCCCTGTGCTTCCCAAAACTCTTGTGACCTGGGAGCCTGTGGGACAGCAGCTCAAGGCTTCAGGGAGTGTTTAGACAACTCTCTCAGGCACATGGTGTGATTCCTGGGGTAGTCCTGTGCAGGGCCACGAGCTGGATTTTGATGATCCTTTTGTGGGTCCCTTCCAATTCAGGATGTTCTGGGATCCTGTGACTCTTCCTGTGCTTTACCCAGAATATGTGACCTTTTCTGTTCATTGTGCCACAAAGGGAATTGTTTCCCTCTATTTCCTTCTGGGTGTGTTTCTCACCTGTCTCTGCTGTCAGGTGTCTGTGGAAACCTGTTTCTCAATGCCACTGGCATCATCAACATGACAGGCGTGGAGAGCAGGGACTGCACGGTGGCCATCGGGCGTCCCCTGAGGGAGGAGATCTCGGTGACCATCCTGGAGAGCTCCCTCAACTGCACTGCAGGTACTGCCTGGAGCTCTGGGGTCCAGCCTGGCCCTTTGGCAAAGCTGCATCTCAAGCTGCACCTTTTCTGGTGCCTTGAGAAGCTCTGGCTGCCTCAGAGCCTCTGTAATCTCTGAAACCATTTTACTGAGTTTTTCTGTAACACCAAGTTGTTGGCAGATGGAAGAAGATGAAGATGCTGCTTGTCCCCCCCTCACACAGTGGTTTCCTACCTGTTTTGTTGGTAGATAGGAGAAGAAAGGGGCTTATGGGGTTAAAGAAGCTGCTTGTTTTGGCCTGTTATAAAACTAATGTACCCTCTAGCTGGAATCAGCAGTTAGATTAGTTAACTGGCCTGTTCCCATGACAGATTTTGATAAGATAGAAACAAGATGCAGAAATTACTTGATTCCAGACCTGTCTAAGAGAGATTTTGGCTTTAACTTAAAAGAAGAGTGTTTCTAGGCCCTGTGCTCATCTGTTCCAGGTGAGATCCTGCTGTTTTCTGGGCGAATGATGTGGCGGACAGGCTGCAGGAAGCTCACTCTGTCACTGATAAATTCCAGAACCAACACACTGATTGTGAAACAGCGTGTTGTGCTGCCAGGAAACGGGGTCATTCTGCAGTACAGCAGCAGAACTGCAACCAAAAAATATTACCAAGGTACTGTACTGAAAGCTTTGCTCTTGTTTTAGATTAAGGCCCACAGAGTTCCATGAATGGTGCTTGCCTATGGAAATCTATGGAAACCTTGCTTCATTTTTAGCAGCTAACAATGCCCTTCTTGAGGAGTGTTGGATTCAGTATTAATTGTGGACTCCCCCTTTGTTTTAAAGCAAACCCCCATAGGTATTTGCTGATGCTTGAAGGCCCCCAGCTGAAAATCCCTAAATAAACTGTTCTGCCTGTGTTTCATTTAAATTATTTCTTCCTTGGAGGTGCTGGATACTTCTCTAAGCTATTTTTTCTTCTCCTTTTGCCCTGTCAGACTGTGACCAGCAGCTGTTTGGCCCCCAGGGTGAAATAGTGAATCCTGTGCAGTTTCCTGAGGGGAGGCAGGGGGTGGTGTGCCGGACTTTCATCACGGTGGCTCCGCGGCAGCGCATCTCCATCCGTGCCCTCAGCACTGACCTGGGCTCTGGGGGCAACCAGACTCACTTCAACTACATCCTGGTGAGGAGGCAGGAACCCCAGTGGGATGATTTGGATGGGAACAAACCCATCTTCATTAGAGATTTCCACCCAGATGCACAGTTCAGTCACAAACCAGGGCCTGGGATCTCTGTTGTGTTCCCATCTCTGATGGGAATGAGAATTTCTGATACCTACTGTATTTCTTCTAACCTTTGTTGCACAGCTTTTCCCTGAGTGACCAATCTGCAAGTCTCCAGTATTTTTTAAGCACTTATTTCATGTCTGTCCTGCTGAGGTAAAATGGTTTGGTTGTTCTTCCTGCAGGTCCGAGATGTCAGCACCATGAAGACGGTGGTGTTCCATGGGAAGCAGCAGTTCCTGTGGCAGTCAACAGGAAGCCAAGCTGAAATTGAATTCCATGAGAATGTTAAGGATCACAGAACCCATTTCTGGGCTGAATATCATGCTATTGAACCTAAATAAAAGCACTGCCCTGAGAAAAGCCCAGTTGGTCACTGCTACCTGCTCACAGCACACATTTAATCTTCTTGTGACTGCTTCCTCATCTGTTGAGTAAAAACAATGTCTGCTGACTCCTTTGGGATCTCAGTCTTGATAAAGATCATACAAAACACATGTAACCTCCAAATATTTAGCAAATCTTCCTCATATGGATTTTCTGTCTGATTTGGTTGGCATTAATGCACTTTACATGTCTGCAGGAGGTGACTTGGGCACTGGAGTGTCAGGGTCCTGCCTCTGTAATGTGGTGGGATCTTTTAAGAGAGTCATTTGATTTCTTGGTGTTCCAGTATAAAACTCTGTACACCACAACTAATGTTTTAGCCATTAAATTCACCCTCTTGCAGTGTAAATGCCCCTCAAAACTGAGGCACAGTGAAGTTCTGGAATGGAGTAAAGAAGGCAGAGATGTGTATGAGGATAAACTGCCAGCACAAGGGGATGTGGAGTGGGCAGTGCCACCCTGGGACAGGTCACTCAAAGCTTGAATGTTTTCAGAAATTGGCTGAACTGAGGCACTGCTGGGCAAGCCCTGGTGACAGCTGGCTTTATGTGGGAGGACTAAATGACATCCTGAGGTCCCTCCCCAGCCACCCTTTCTGGAGTTCTACTGTTGGATATCTGACAGTGACGCCACCACTTCTTTTCTGTGAGAAAATAAAAGAATTAATGCCAGGTTTGATGCAAAGTCTGACTTATTCAGATAAGAACAGCAGCTGTGCTATCAATCTGTATCTTCATTTGACAAGAACTGTGGTTGAGGCTGCATGGACAAGCTGTGGCAGGAAGAGGGATTTTAGAGCAGTGGCAAATATTCACACAAGTTTCATTTAAATGAATTTTTTAGGTTATTTCTTTTTTTTAGTATCTTGAACATTGGGCTGTGCTTTGGTCCAAATCTGTCATGCTCCTCAAAATCACAATATACTGCTTCAAGGGTCTTTTCTGCACCTGGAGCCTGGCTGGACACATCTGCACTTGCTCTTCATGCTGGATGCAATAAATGGTTCTGCCTGGGCAGTTTTAACCCTGCTCCTGCTTTCTCTCAATTGGATTCTCTGACATCCTTCTACAACCACAAATACTTTCTTAATTAATAGCTGTTTTTTTTTTGCTGGTTAAACCTGGAGTTTTTTGCTTGCCAGCCTCCAGATTTACGTTCCATTCCTGAAGGAGCCAGAAAATAGATTCCTGAAGTGAGATCCTCGAGGAGCTGGATACATGAGCTATCCCTCTGCAGTGCGTGGGTGATGCAGGCCCTGGGCCTTCATTTCCTGTCTGACAGGAGATGGTAATGAAAAGACATCCTTTCCTTAATCCCTTTTTTGTAACCTTTTAGCAGATGGGATCTGTCTTCCCACTCTGCTCTGGATCCCAAGTCTCACTGCTATTTATTGTTCCAGATTGACTGTGCAGAGCTGGGCTCTGCTCGTGTTCCACGTTCATCTGCACAAAATGCAGCTGTTGCCTTCCTCATTTAGGAGAGTTCAGGGTGTTCCCCTGTCCCATTTGGACACCACCAGCTCGCCAGCTGGGGCATCTACTTGCAAAGTGCAACTTCTGCTCCCATTTTGAGGGAGAAAACCTGATTCCAGTCAGATAAGGGGAGTGCGACTCTCTTATCTGGAGAGCAGAATTTTGCAACAGCGTTCAGTTCCCGTCAGCGTGAGGATTCCTGTTTCCCTTTCTGGAAAAGCAAACACTAAATGTTAAGGATCACTAAGGAACACTAAATGTTAAGGATCACTAGGATCACTAAGGAACACTAAATGTTAAGGATCACTGGGATCATTAAGGAACACTACATGTTAAGGATCACCAGGATCACTAAGGAACACTACATGTTGAGGATCACTAAGGAACACTAAATGTTAAGGATCACCAGGATCACTAAGGAACACTAAATGTTAAGGATCACTGGGATCATTAAGGAACACTACATGTTAAGGATCACCAGGATCACTAAGGAACACTAAATGTTAAGGATCACTAAGGAACACTAAATGTTAAGGATCACTAGGATCACTAAGGAACACTAAATGTTAAGGCTTGCCTGGATAACAACACCCAGTTGTTCCCGGGGCCATGAAGAGCTGGTGTGAGGTGCGTGGCCGTGCCTGTGCTGATGAATATGAGCAGCAGAGCTCTGCCCACAGCCTTTTAATGCGAGTGACATCAAAGCCAAAGCCCTGCCTGCTGCCGGGGGGGACCCACAATGCAGCTGGAGAGAGCCGTGGAGCAGCTCCAGGCCCGCTGGCATCACCGCCCTGCAGCCAGCCACCCTCCATTGTCAGCCCTGGGGTGCCAGCCCTGCATGGGGACACGGGGACAGGCCCAGGCCTGGCTTTAGGGGCTGTCCCCTGGGCCGGCTGGAGGAGGGGGTGACACCTGGGGGCTCAGGTGGGCAGCAGGGCGCTGAGCCCCCGGCAGCGGGGGGAGATGAGCTCGCAGGATGAGCAGTTCCCGGCAGCAGCAGCAGCAGCAGCCCCCGAGGCAGCAGACGCCGATGAGGGCATGACCTGGTGGTACAGGTGGCTCTGCAGGATTGCCGGGGTCATCGGGGGCATGTGTGAGTATCCCCTCCCCTCTGCGTGTCCCTCCTGCATGACACTGCTCGTCCCAGGGTCCTGCCGGCGCTGCGGGGTCACGCTGGCCGTGCCATGAAGGGATTTTGGGGTGATGGGTTGGTGCCAGCTCTTGGTTTGCAGCGTTTGGGGCAGTAGGGAGAGCGCAGGCTGTGCCTGCAGCAGGGTGGGTTCAGCTGCCCACGAGGGATGTGCTCCGTGCTCACTGAGCCTGCTGAACTTTGGCACCCGGCAGCGGGGACGTCACGGGGCAATCTGCAAATCCCCGAGGTTCTCCTTGGATGTGGCACTCCCTGGCAGTGATGGGAGCAGCAGCTGAGCCCTGGTGCCTGGCAAACAAATTAGATTATTTTACTGTGAGCACCAGGCTCACGGGGGTCAGGTCAGGGCTGGAAGAGTGGCCGCAGGGTTTGGTTTATCCTATTTGACTTTTGGGTGTTTATATGTTCCTACAATTTGTTTTTTTCCCCTCCATCATCACTGTCAGAGCATGTTTCCCATTGCTCTTGTTGCTGATTGCAGAAGGCCTGCCCGTGGGTTTTACTGAAGGTGAAGAATGGTTTTGGTTTGTGCTGTGTGCTTTTAAGGGGTTTGGTAGGACACAGAGAACGGAGCTGCAGACGCAGAGTGAGTTGGCTGAGCTCAGAATTACCTGCTGCTGAAAAAAATTTTCCCAGGGAAAGAGTCTCAGCAACTTTGCCAGAAATCAGCCTGTCCTGGAGTGCTGTTTTGCTACATTCTGTGGAGAGATTAATAGCTCTTAAAAGCAGGAGGGACTGTTATGACCGCTTAGTCTGATCTCCTGCAGAGCACAGGATGGAGAATTTCTCCTGCTTCAGGTCCACGACTTCAAGTTAAACAAGAAGGTTTCTCAGCCAGTGCAATCAGCCCTGATTTATTCCATCAGCTGGAGCTTTGTGTCTGATCACTCTCTCCCCCTGCCTGCCTTTTGCCTTGGGGCTGGGCTGCACAACCCCACAATGTTTTTGGAGCTGACATTTGCACCCTGTGCTGTCACTGGGCTCCTGAAAGCTCTTTTTGGCTGGGCTGGTAAAACATGTGCTGCTCCCACCGTTCCATGTGCTAGGTGCTGAAATCCTGGAGGTGTGACAGGATTTGGTGGGACTGCTCTGAACACCCCGTGCCCTGCCGGAGGCCCCCGCGCTCCTGGCCCGGCCAGCAGCCAGGAGAACCAGCTGGGAAGTGTCTGTGGAGCAGGTCCCAGGTGGGGGTTCAGAGGAGCAGCTTCTTTCCCACGGGCTGTGGCTGTAGCAGGAGCCTCGGTGCTTTTCCTGCAGTTTTATCCCATGCAGAGCTCGGGGTGATGTGGATGGAGGGTGAAGAGCTGGTGGCTCGTGCTGGTGGCACTGCCAGCCTCATGCTACAGCAGCTCGTGAGTGGCTTGAAAGTGCAAATTTCTTCTTTTTCCCTCTCTGTCTTTGTGTTTCAAAGCAGCTGAATTATACTTGGATTATTTTCCCAACCTTTTGTTCACAGCTCTGCGACCTCGTGGCTTGTTTTTACAGGAAAGATGAGAGTTTTATGTCTTTGGGTGAGTCTGGGAGAAGCTTTTGGAAGAAGAGCCAGGTTCTTAACAGGGTTTGCCAAAGATTTGGGGAGTGACAGCTGGCTCTGGAGCCCTGTCTCTTTATCAGGCAGAGAATGAGGTACAAACTCTCCTTATGAACAGGGAAAAAGGGGGATTGTGGAAAAAACAACCAGTGCCCCATGCTACCAACATTCCTCTTCAAAATGCTGCTTGTTCAGCATCACCTTGTTGAAGGTGGATGGTTTGGAGAAGAGGTGATGAATAAACCAGCAAGGCTGGAGTTTGCTGTTCTTTTCAGAGCTTGCCCTGAAAGAACAGAACTAATTTATAAGGATTGTGAGCAACTGGATTGTAATGCTGCTACAGGGCTGGATTATTTCTTACAGAAGGAAAAATTCCCTCAGAAAGGAAGAGAAACTTCTTTAGTGGAGGTGAGACCAGCAGACAACATCTGCCACATGCAAACACCTGCAGCCACAGCTTGTTTCAGCCAGAAAAATCCAAGGGCTGGAGCAAGAACCAGACAGACAAGGTTCAGGATCCCTTTCTGGCTCCTGCACATGCTGGCTTGGTGACCTTGGCCAAGTCCCTTCTCTCTTTGTGTTCCTGTTTGTAATGGGACGAGGAGAGTCTGTGGCTTTTGTAAAACACTCTAGGAGCAAAAATAGGCTTGTGTTGAGGACAGTGACCAGCTGCTGGAAATGAATAGAGCCTTTGTAGGGAAGGGTGTCCTTCCCCCCACCCATTTTAGCTCCCAGTTATTTGTGCTTCCTCAGGGATTCGAGGTGGGACAGCAGTTAAACAAATGGCAGAACTGTCTGTCTCCCGTAGCTTACGTGCCACGGAGCATTATCTGCATTTTAACCATGTTGTGAGGCCTCTGCTTGAAAAGAAAATATTTTAAAAAGAAATCTTTGGCTTGGCAAGGGTGGGATCAGCTCCTGCCCCGGTGGGACGAGGATGTACCAGGCTGTGTGGGACAAGCAGCTCTGCAAAGGAGACCCAAGGTCACTGAGTTGTTCTGTGGCTGTTGGCAGCAGCTCTGGGGGCAGTGCTCCTGTGATCCCAGACCTTTGACTCCTTTCCTGCTGCTCCTGCTGACGTGGGGCTCTCTCAGCTCTGCTTCCTGGGTCGTTAGTCCTCTGGCAACCAGGCTGGTTGCTGAGCCAGGACTGCTGCAGGGACACAGAGCTGCAGGGCTGTTTTGGAACGTTTGGGGACAAAACCAAACCAGAAACCTGGCAAAACAACCCCTGGTTGGTTTGATTAGGAAAAAAAAAACTTGCTTGGAAAAGAACATCCTGCTTCCCTTTGTTTGTTGTGTGGTGGAGACCTGCTGGGAACTGCCTGGACCTCTGTGCTCAGCCAGGCAGGGTCCTGCCCCAGCCCTGGCTGTGTTTTGGGGATAGCTGAGAGGTTTTGCTGCTCTGCTAATTATAAAGTGCCAGAAAGTCACTCAGCATTGTTGTCAGGAATGTCCTTTCCTGGGGGACAACGAGTGCCACGAGCCTGGGGTGCATCCCCTGAGCTCCTCTTCCATCAGCATCCAAGGGTTTGGTGGTCACAGGGAATTAGAACCCCCTGGTTTGGGCCCTGCTCTCCATGCTGCCCACAGCTCCTAGGAATCCTGCTTGCCACTGCTCCTCTCCAGCTCTTTGCACGTGTGACCATGAACAGATCACCCCAACCCCGTGCCTCAGTTTCCCCTGCAGTGTGGGGACAGTGACACTGGAACCTGTGGGACGGGAGGGTGAGAAGTGCCCTTGGAGCATGGATATCAGCACATCCTCTGAAATACCTCCTCTGCCAGCTGATCTTGTTCTTGCAGGACTCTCCAAAAGATTTTGGGTCCTGTGGACTTAGTTCTAGGAAGTGTTAAAAAATAAGGTTTTTTGGAATTTCCTAAGACCGGGAGGTCACTTGCTCATGGGATGACCTTCAGTCTGTCCTGTCATTGCCTGCAGTTCTGCTTCCCAGCCTGGTAAACAAGGATAACTATTTTTAAAGGAACTTTGAGGATTCAGCAGTGACTGCTTAAAAGAAACCTTGCAAGCATGTGCCAGGCTTTTGAAGGTCAGGGCTGCTCACAGCAGCTCTGCTCAGGGATTCCCTCCCCAAAATCCTCAATCTAGGGCTGGTCTCTTCCTCAGAGAGAGGCTCTGCTGCTCTCCATCACCCCCAAGACAGCCTTTAAAGGCCATAGAATCCATTTGAGGTGGAGTTTTGCCGTGTTATGATGTTTGCTGGGTGTGTGTCTCCTGCCCTCCCAGCTGGGCTCAAGTTCCTGGTGCCAGCTCTGGCCCTGGCAGAGGGAAGGGGCCGGATCAGGTGCCAGGAACACTCTGCAAGTTTAATGAGGCAGCAGGGAGGTGGATGCAGCTCAGCTCAGTCACTGCTGCCTGGTTCCTCTGCCTGAGTTACAGAGCCAGGAGCACTGGGGTTATTTTGGGCTTTATTCACTTCCTTTTATGTTAGTGGAGACCCAAACTTGGCTCTTTTCTGCCCATCTCTGGTGAAGCTGCACAGAACCAGCCGTGAGTGGCAGGGGCTGGGTTCACCTGTGCTGTATTTGTTATTTTCCTGTGTGCAAGCCATGTTTTTGCTGAACTTGCCCTGTGCTGCTCAGTGGTAGAACCTGCTGGCACTGCTTGTCTACCTTGGCACATAAAATCCAGGTGCACGTCCTGGACTCCATGTGGAAGCAAATGTTGTTCTACACAAGGGAAATAATTGTTGGAACAGCACTCAGAGCAAAAGGATACCAGAGGAGGGCTCTTCCCTGCATTCCAGGCTCCTTTTGGACCACCAGACCTTTCCACCCACCATCCTGTGCTGCCCTGCAGTGCCCACAGGTGCTGGCCAAGGGCACACAGGGTTGGTCATGGTGGTCACTGAAAGCCTCTCTCTTTCCAGCCTGTGCCTTTGCTGGTCTCTGGAACTGTGTCACCATCAACCCCCTGAACATCGCAGCCGGCGTGTGGATGATGTGAGCAGGTTTATTCTCATTTTCCTGCTGGGAGGGAGGTATTGTTAACCAGGCCCCACTGAGGGGGGCAAAGCTGCCCTGCTTGGGCAGGGATGGGAGTGAAACATCCATCAGGCTCTGGGAGTTGCCAGACCTTGCTCCATCAGGCAGGTTGGGATGTTAGGTTTATTCTATTTATATTATTTCCTTATGCATTTTTAGGTAAATACTAAGATGCCCTTGTCCAAAATAAATCTGGGGCAGCAGGGCTTGGAAATTTGGAAATTATCAAGAAGTGAGGGGAGCAGAGCAGGGCCCATCCTCACCATTCCCTCCACCTGCACAGAGCATGGTGTATCTGCTCTCTGTGGGCCTGGGGGGCATTGCTGACCCCCATCTGGTGACTCAAAGCAGCATTAACTCTGGTTTTCTCTCTCTGGAGGCTCAACGCCTTCGTGCTGTTCCTGTGCGAGGCCCCTTTCTGCTGCCAGTTCATCGAGTTCGCCAACGCCGTGGCCGCCAGGGCCGACAGGCTGCGGGCCTGGCAGAAAGCAGCTTTCTACTGCGGGTGAGGATGCTCCTGGGGGCTGATGGTGGGCATATCCCGGGGAAAGAACACCCCTGCGCCCCGTGGGGAGCGGGGCCCTGCTCTGAGGGCCGCCCCTGTCTTCCAGGATGGCCGTGTTCCCCGTCATGCTCAGCCTGACGCTGACCACGCTCCTGGGCAACGCCATCGCCTTCGCCACTGGCGTGCTCTACGGCCTGTCGGCCCTTGGAAAGAAGTAAGAGAGATCCAGCTGCTCGTGGAGGGCAGGGAAGGGGGAGATGGAGCTCCAGACCCTGCTCCATCTGTCTTCCTAAGGCTGTGCTTTCCTCGTGCACAACCCGTGCTGAGGTGTGGACGCGGCCAGAGAAATCTCCCTCATCTCAGAGCCCTGTGAGGGAAGGTCCTGGGGCTGCTGAAGCTCTGAGTTTTGGGAGTTCTGAGGGTCCCACTCTTCTGTCTGCAGCTGTTGGGTGGGTGGGCCCAGCCCTGGGGCAGAGAGCAGCTTTGGGGGTTGGGGAAGGCCAGCAAGTGTGGTTTGACCCCTTGGCACGGAGAGCCCGGCCCCAGCTGGGCCAGTCCCTGCCATCCCCACGCTGTCCCTTCTCTCCACAGGGGAGATGCCATCTCCTACGCCCGGATCCACCAGCAGCAGAAGCAGATGGATGAAGAGAAGCTCACGGGGAGCCTGGAGGGACAGGCTCTCTGAAGGACACGAGCTCAGGGTAGCATCTCCTGGACGCTGAGATGGTGAAGATGTGGAAATCCACTCTGCCCTTCCCTCTGTCCTCTCCACTCCCTGCTACACCACAATTTCCCTGGACACTGCAGCAACTGGAAATCTCAGGGGCTGGGGCAGGCTGTGTCCTCTCCTCACTCCAGCAGCCAGACCTCAGCACGTTGCTCCTTCTCTCCTCAACCCTCAACCCAAACTGTGCCCCTATTTTTTAATCTTTTATTTTCTTTTTGCTTGCAAAAAGAATTTTTTTCCAATATTTTCTTGCCAGCAGAGGTGCTGGCTCTCTGAGTGCTGCTTTCCCAGCCTTTTTTTTTTTTAATTTTTTTTATGGACTGCCCTCTGGATGGGTGAGGAGGGACAGAGGACCTGCCAGTGCAGGTTCCACGTGTTTAGGAACACTCCCTGGGATGGCCCTTCCCAGGTACAACACCTAAAACCCCCTGGTGCTTAACCTTGGTCTTCTTCCACTATTTTAATTATGGGACCAAGCACTGGAGGCATTGCTGCGTGGGAAAGGATTTCCAGCAAAAATTCATCTAAAGATAAAATCCATCTCTGCAGGGGAGCTGCCAGAGCTGCTGGGCAGATCCTGGGACCTCCAAAGCACAGTCCCTGCTTCCTCTGGATACAGCTACAGTCAGTGACTGCTATTTACTTGAATTATGAGAATTAATTACTTTGTCTTAATAAGGGCACTTTTCTTAAGCTTCACTCTTTTACTGGGGCAGAAGGGAAACAATATTTGCTGTACCACAGCAGAAAAGGATGCTGTTTCTTGAGCCAAGTGGGATTTTTTGCTGGTGTCAGGGTCACTGATGTGCAGGAGCGTTCCTGCCTCGTGAGCCTGGGACTCTGCTCCTGCATCCCTCCGTGAAGGGACCTGCTCTGCTTGCCTGGTCTTTGGGATTGTGGTTTTTTTGCATCAATCCTGAGCTGGTTTTGTATGGGAAGGTGGCACAACTTCCCTGTGCAAACAGAGAGCAGGCTGCACCATTTCAGTGTGGACAGCTGGGATGTTTTACTTTGCTATTCCAGGCTCTTTCTGTGGTTTTCACATTGTATTTTCTGTTTGCTTTGTACCATGCAGTACAAAACTGCTCACTAAGCCCAGATCCCCCTCTTCTCATCCCAGTTTGTCCTGGGGATTTTAATTTATTTGATTTTTATATGGTTGCTTTTGTTTTGATTGGGAAAAAGGGGAATAATTTATTTCTAGTTATTTAAGTACTTTAATGGGACTCATTTTCTCTGGATATAGGCGAAAGGAGTGCTCTGTTTCCTGTCCTTCACAGGGCTGCCTCATTTCACCAGGGGTCTCTGAACCCAGGGACAGCCCTGGCTGCTGCAAAATCCAATTTCAGCCTTCAGAGTGTTTCTCAGACTCTTCAAAAAAAAAGTGTGTTGTCCTTTGACCCCTTTGTCTTGTTCTGGGCCACAAGCTTGACAAACTGTGTTTTCCCCCTCTTCTGGGAGAGAGAAGGGAGGAGAACTGGGCTGTAAATGCTGGACTGGGACAGCCACCAGCACTGTGTGTCCCTGTTTGAATCCTTGGGTACAGAGGGGTTGTGCTGTCCTCTGAGAAATGCTGCTGGAGGCTGAGTGCTGTCTGTCTGTCAGAGGGGTCTGTCCACGCTGAAAACTCTCCTTAAACCCTGCCCTTCCTCAAGCTGCTGGCTCCTGTGAGCTGCTGCTTCTTCCCTGGAGCTCAGGAGACGGGAGGATTCCCACCAGCCAGCATTTCCTGGATGTGGGGTTTTTTTTCCTGCACCCTTTTTGTGCAAAGCCCCTTTCCCCCCACCTTTGAACTGGGATTGCTCCAACACCCCTGTCGGGGATGCAGACCAGGCACCACCAGCCTGGGTTTTTTTCCACAAAGGCAGCTTTTTTCCCTCAAAGCTGTGCTGGTTTGGAGCCCCCAGCTCTTGGTGCTGAATGCAATGCAGGGGCCATTGGCCCACAGCCTCCTGCTGCCTGCAGGGATGGAATGCAGAAGGAATGGGGGGTACTCCAGAGGGAATAACCTCTGGGTGCTGCAAGGGCAGAGTCCTGCCTCAGGAATGGGCACGTGCTTTGATTTCAGGGGGGTGTGGGGAGTTCTGTAGTGTTTAGTAGAGGAATGTTGCAGACTGATGCATGTCGATGGTAGGGACAGCTTTGCTCTGTGAGTAGTTCTGCAGTAGCTTTAGTGTCAGGAGGCCAAAGGCAAAGCAGAGCTCAAGGGCTGAGACTTCCAGGGCGCTCTGAGGATCTGCTTCCAGGGTGCATCTGCTTCCAGGGTGCATCTGCCACTCCCTGCCATGGTCCCTGGGGCTGGGGCAGGTGCTCCAGGGCACCTGCAGGGCCCACTCTGCTCCTTGGCACCCAGGCAGATGTCCCAGCAGTGCTGCCACAGTGTTTTGTGGCAGCAGAGTCTGACCCTGGGGCTGAGGCAAGGGAGAAATCTGCACCAATGTGCCACCATGAGAGGGTGGCAAAGCTCAGCGAGCTGAAAATGGGCCTCAGGAACTCCCCTGAAAGAGCTGAGCTGGAGCCTTTGGCCACAGGGAAGTGTCTGTGCTTGTCACCGCTGGAGGTGTCCCCAAGGGTGGTGACTCCTACAGGGGCCTGTCTGGAGCAGGAACCCTTGGGAATTTTGGCTGTCTGGTGGAGCTGGAACCAAGCCAGATGCTGCCAGCATTGCAGACAGGCTTGGTGACAGCACCCATGGCTTGTAAGAGCTGTGGTGACAGTCAGTGCTTGGTCTCACCCCCATGTGGGGCTGTTTGGTGGAGATAGGAAGGAGCTTTAGAGTAGAGTAGCATCACAGTAGTTAATGCCAGTGCATGGTGGTTGTTAGTTGTGTTTAGAGGCACCCTCGGGGTGCTTGGAGCTGTGCAAGGACAAATGAGGTTCAAACCCTGCTCTGGAGGTTTCACAGGCTCAACCCAACCCCTGCTGAGGGCATGCAGGAGGAATGGCTGATCCGGAGGGGCTCTGTGCAGCAGGGTCTGCTCTCCAGGTCTGGAAAGGAGATGATGGCAGGGCTCAGGGGGTGACACGCTGAGGACAGCGAGCTGTTGGCACCAAGAGTGGCAGGACCCCTGGGGAGCAGTGGCCTGTCACACACCAGTCACCAGGGCAGTTTTATGCACTGTGCCACTCTTTCCATGCCTCTGCCACTCGTGTGTGGTGGCTCTGTGTCCCCTGGGGCTGCCCACGGGGTGTGGAGAGCAGGGGAGGGCTCACTGCTCTGGGCAGGAGCTGCTTCTGTAACACCCATCGATTCTCTGTGTGTGCAGTGAATAAAAACACCATTCTACCTCTGGAAAGAGCCACTGTGATTTCTCACACTCCAAACGTTGTAGCAAAAGCCCTGGGATTCACTGTGCTGGAGGAAGGAGGTCACTCAGAAAATGCTCCTCCAGTGAGGTTCTCTCAGGAGCTGGAGTCCAACCTCATTTCCTAGTGGGGCATTTCCTCCTTAGGTTGAGCCCTGGGAAGCTCAATTCATCTCTGTCATTTTTTTCCTCAGGAAAAAAAAACATCCACTGTCTTCAGGGAAGGGTTTCACTGAAGTGAAGATATCAAGAGCTGGTCCATAGCCATGTGAGAAAGAGAATGCTCGAGCACAGGGCTGCCAGAAATCCTGGTCTTCAGAAAGTCAGTGGAAACCAGAGGCTCTTGAGACCTCTTGTAGTCAGGCCATGCTTAGAAAAAGTTGTGTTCCAGCCAGGGCTGAACATCTTTCTGGAAAAGGGTCTCAGCAGCAAAGGGTAGGTTTAATACTGAATGTTTTCTGTGTTTTTTATTTTGGCCCACCACTCTCCCTCTGTCCTAGGCTGTTTTAAATTAATGCTGTGATAAAGCACATCTTCTCTTAGGTGATTTCTCATCTCCTGCTGCAGGAGATCAGAATGGCAGCTGGCACATCTGGAGGGCTGGCTCAAACATGCTGTTTTACCCCCTGCTTCCTCAGGACAGCAGGAATGTCCCAGGAATAGCCCTCAGGGTGCCAAGTGCATTTCAGGAACTTGGACAAATGCTTGGGCACATCATGTCCCAGCTCAGCCTGTGTGCTTCTGCCCTTTGGGGAGGAGTCAGGTTGGACTGAGCAAGGCCATTTGTTCCTCACAGCCATAACCACCTCCTGCAGCTTTGTTTTACCTCGGGTTAGCTCTAAAAAATAATTATAAAAGGTTCTTAATCTTGCAGGAAACACAGGAAAGGGGTAAGACTGATTTGCTACTAACTATGCAGTTGAAATCTCAAAGTGATGGAGGTGGAGGCACATCCACCTCCCTCTTGTGGCTGGGTCAAACCCCAGGGTGGGAAGGACCCACCCCAGCACAAAGTGTTGTCAGTACTCACTGTGTCTTTCCCACAGGGAACCACTTGCACTACAGCTGGATGTTTGTCTGTTCCCATTCTTTTGTCCTGGGTTTTCTTTGTGAACTGTATTTGGTCTTATTCTAGGCTTCTAGTGTAATGTGTGTTTTTAGAGCAATAAAACGTGGCAGCTTTTGATACAAAAGATCTGGCTCTGCCTCTTTCATGGTCCTTGAGTGCCTGAGACTCCTCTGGGGACCTGCAGGCTGCTGTGGTCCCCTTGCCACAGTCCTGCTCTGCCTCTCCCATCCCTCCCTTCTCTGCAAATCAAGGCAATGTCTTGCAGTTGGAGGCAAAATTGTTTTATTCCTGCAGCTACATGATGAGCTTTTGCCAGAACAGCTCCAGCTGCAAACTCAGCTCCAGACAAGCCCCCAGACCCTCAGGCTGCTGAGCAAAGGGGAACCACAGTTTCCTGTCCACACTTATTCTTCCAGGACACCTTTGTCTCCAGCCTGGCCCTACTGGTGACCTGCTCCCATCCCAAGGGGTGACAGGTAGTGTTGGGTGACAGGAGGAGAAGGTAAAGTTCCAGCTGGCAACTTCTACAGCCAGAGCAAGATGATCACTGCTGCCCCTTCCTCTCCCACAGAGAGCTCCAGCCTCCACTTCCAGCAGCACAAGTTTGCTTTGCCCTCAGCCTGGGCAGGGGCAGCTCCTACCTCAGGAAGGACCTGCGGCCAGTCCTGAAAAAGGCCTCAATCTGCTCCAGGGACCTGCCTTTGGTTTCAGGGACACAGCAGCCTGTGAATAAGATGTTCCCAGCACTGATGACAGCGAAGAACAGGAAGGGCACCTCGAGGCCGAAGGCGTTCTGGAAAGTGGGGTAGAAAGCAGCTGTG